GCCTCCCCCCCCCCCCTACACAGCCCCTCCCTCCTCCACCTCCCACCCCACAGCGCAGGCATACACACTAAGGGAGACAAATGACGGGGCCTCAGCTGAGCGGGGCGCGTGTCCGGCCCATAAACCACGGGGATGGGTCACGTCTGGAGTTGCCATGGCCGCCACTACCCACCCATCTGTCTTCCCACTGTTCTGCCTCAGACCAGACCTCATGGCTTCCTGTGCCTTTGGGGAAACGAGGGTTTACCTCTCCATGCACACATCCACCGCAGGTGCATGCATGCTAAGCTCTGCAAGACAGGACCCCATCCGACTTGCCTGCCCTAAGCGGGATCTGCAGAGCTGGTGTCTGGCCCTGGGGCTGACTAGACTCTCCCCACTCCACACCCGCCCCCACCAGACCTTTTCTAGCTCTGAAGAGTCCCCTTTCCTAGTCCAAGGTTCTGGCAAGGATGGGCCTAGGGGACTCAATGGAATTAGTTGGTCTTTGACAGACACAGGCCTCCTGACCCCACCTTGACCTTGCTCCCCCCCACCCCCCGTACGACATGGGTGTACAGTATTTCTGCAATCACAGGATCGATCCCATGAGGGCTGCTGGCAGCCGAGGCCCTGGTTATGGTTTAAGAGCATGTAAGGGGGTGGGAGAGAAGAGGGAAAGGTGAGGGGGTGGTGAGTTGCCCTGGACAGCTGAAGAAAAGCCCAGGCTCTCGGGCAGTTTCTGTCCTAAGCTTACTCTGATGGGACACGCCGTCCTTGCTGGTTGTGGAGTTCTGCTGGATGTCTGAGGCCACGAAGTGCCTGTTCCTATAGGCTCCAGGGTTCTGGGATGGTTTAGACCCCAGCGTTTTCACAAGGACCAGCACTGGAGAACTGCTGGTGATAGGGTCTGGCACAACACAGGCAGGTGCAGACAGGGCCCTCAAGAAGGCAACCAGCTCCCAGGGTTGAGGGTGGCCACAAGTCTGGGCCTCCCCAGCCTGCTTGGGGCAGCACAGGATGAGCTGTCGGGGCACACAAGCAGAGGCCCAGGTGGCGTGTTGCACAGGGCGCTGGCCCAGCGGTGCCGAGCTTTGTGCCTTGTCACCAGTGATAATGGCCTGGGCCACAGCTCCCACAACACGCAAGTGCTGGCAAAGTCACCCTGGCCGTGGGTGTGATGAATGGCCGCACAGTAATGAAATGGAGACATCAAGGCGGGTGGCGGGAAGACGGAGTGTGGCGGACGGGCCGTCCCCACGCGGCGGCAACAAGAAGGATCGCCCAGCGGCCGGGGGCCGTCAAGGGAGAAATTACACATTTACTCTGCCTTTTTCTTACTGCGACGGCGCCCATACATCACCGCTGGGGCTGGGGCGGGACACGCCGGCCAATTTCCAGCATGAATTATGGGACTGAGAAGTATTGAGACCAGGCTTCCTGCTGGCCCAGCATCACCCAGCCCACCCCGAAGCTGGAGACTGCCACCAGGGGACAGGGCCCTTTCCCTAGAGCCTGGATCTGACTCCACCTCCCAGCCCTCCCCTTGTAGAGCACTTGTGGGTTGGAGGGGGAGGGTGGGAGCCCATCTGACTATTTCCTCTTCTTCCTTAGATGACTGCAAGAACATCGCCAACATCATGAAGACACTCGCATATCGAGGCTTCATCTTCAAGCAGACATCGAAGCCTTTCTGATTGGTGAAGACAGGATAGGGCAGGACAGGGTAGCAGCTTGGCCCAGCCCAGAATCATCCTCTCCCTCTGCAGAGGGGAAGAGGGCGAGTGGCACAGCTCTGCGTCCAGAGTGTCCCCAGCTGCCCTGTGGGCATATGCCCTGGGCAAGGGCTTGGCCACTTGGCCCTTGGAGCAGACACTTGTACCCCCTCCCTACCCCTCAGTCTCAGCCCCTTCCATTGTGGGCCCCGGGCTAGGGGGACCCAGGCGCTCACCACCTCCTCCCTGTACACAGGCGTCTGCTGGGGCCAAGCCCCTGTGCCCCCTCCCATCCATAGTGCATGGTGTGTGGTGCCCTCAGGGCTCCGGACAGATCAGGCCCTTCCTTGTGTCTACCCCCATCCCCGCTGTGAACGTGCCACTGAATAAAGTTGGGGAAACAAGGCCCTGGGCGTGTGTACAAGGCTGTTGGATCCCCAATGCTGTCAGGACGTGATGGTAGAGCCTGGCCCAGACTGCCTTGTCCACAGGCCATCAGTGCAGACTGGCAGTCACTGTAGTGCCTTGACATCTCCCTGAACACAAAGCCCCTGGGGTAGGAGCTGAGCGTGAGGCTGTGTGCGAAGCTGCAGGATCCAAGGCTGCTGTGTGTGAAACCACAGGTGTCCCAAGGGTGCAGGGCAGAATGGCAGTGGTTAGTGGTCACTGGGCTGCAGAGAGCCTGGACCCCAGCCAGCCCGACTACCACCCACCCAACCCTCCCTCCCACCAGGGCATCAGCAGTGGTGGAAGGAAAAGGAAGCAGCCCAGTCCGACTCAGCAGCTCTATTGAACAACAGCCTCGCCCACGCTCGCTGTGGCCTCTCACGGCTTCTTGGCTTTCTTCACAGAAGATGAGCTGGAAGCCGACTCCCGTCGCTTCCTCTGGGGAGGCAGAAGATACTGAGGTCACTGGCCCCCCCAAGGCCTGAGTCAGGGTAGGTGCATGCTCCCAGGAAAGGTGATGCCCACTGGTCAGCCCACTCCCACCCCC